GGTTGCATCTGATCTGTTTGATTTTAAGACTATGCTTCATGTAGTATTGGTTTGCCTGATGGGTCTCATGTTCAGACACACCAACAAGGAATTGTGTGGCTTTCATGTCATTTGGTTTTCACTTGTGTATTGTTTGTGCCTAATCTACAATGTCACTTAATATGAGTTGGTTATCTTATCCGTGATAATGTTTTTCATATCCTTTTTAATGATCATTGTTTTGTAATACAGGACCTATGTAGAAGAAAGAGATCGAACGGGGAAAATTTTGAAATGGAGTGTACGTCTTCAGCCATACTCCAACTCAAGCTCCTGCCTCTAACAATGATCCAGTTCTATTCATTAATGTCTTGGTCATCCGTCTCCACATATATCCTTCCCTCTTAGTTCAAATAATAGCAGTGTGAAGCATTTTATTTAAACCATTGTGATTTATGGGGGTTGTATTCTAATGAAGTTTTTTTATTTAAACCATTGTGATTTATAAGGGTTGTATTCTACATGTGTTTCATCTACTTCTCACTATTTTATAACCATTGTTGATAGCTTTTTGGGTGTACCTTATTAAAGATAAAAGTGAGGTTACATCTTCTCTTAAATGCTTCCATGTCATGATTTATACTCAGTACTCAAAAACATTAAGATTGTTTGTTCTAACAGTGGTACTGAGTTCCTCAATAATCCTCTTCATCAGTTTTATAATAAAATGGGTGTATGTATTCAGACTTCTTGTGTAGGTACCTCACAATAAAATAGAGGAGTTGAATGAAAACGTCGTTACATCCTAAATGTGGCTCGTTCCCTTATGTTTCAAGTCTTCTCCTGATTAAATTTTGGGGTGAATGCATCAAAACAACTATTTATCTTATCGATCGCACATTAACCAAAATATTGGGAGGTAAGTCCCTCTTGAAATCCTCTCCTCTTAACCATCTTCTTTGGTTGTTTGTGCTTTGTCAGTCGTGTTACAAAACCCCCCCAAACAAATTTGCCCCACGTAGTGTCCGTTGCATGTTTGTTGAGTATTCTTATAGTACAAAGAGATGGCGAGTATATGATCTTAAAACTCACTTTTCTTTCATACCATAGATATTTCATTTCATGAGTCTCAGTTTCTGTTTGTCGTGTCCCAAAACAAACAATGACCGCCTCCCCTATGTACCCCATTGCCGATGGACTTTCCGGTCATAGTGACGTCAAAGCCACCGACTTCCATCACAGTCCCCACAAATAACGAAAACACGTCCTACGTTGAACCACCGTCACAACCTCGTCCCGCGCCTTTAGCCACTATTCCCCTAAACCAATCTTACCTGTTAAGCTATTCCCCTACGGCTGCAGGGGAATCCCCTCAAACAATCACTACAGTCCCTACCTATTCTCGTACCCATCATCCCCTATCTTATCTTGATGATTATATATATACGTCATTCTGCGTAGACTATCCCTCTGATTTCACCTTCTCCTATCCCATCTTCCTGTTCAAGTATGCGATTCCCTATTATTAACATTGTTCATTATGAAAGATTGCACAATAGGTATAAGGGATTTTCTAGAAACTATAAGTGTTAGCAGTGTGCCTAAAAATTTAAAAGAAGCCATTCAATTTGCCTCTTGGCGTCAGGCCATATGGCTCAAGAGATCTTGGATCTAGAGAGAAATCATATGTGGGATATAACAGACGTTCCTCCACATCGGAAAGTGTTAGGCTGTTAGGCTGTTAGTGGGTCTGATGGTACCAAAGAACATGGTAAGACCAGGTTGTAGACTTTGGCAATCACAAAAAATTGGGTATTGTGTATACCAATACTTTTGCTCAAGTGGCAACATTAGATACTCTTCGTGTTCTTTTATTTCTCCATGGTGATTTGCAGGAGGGAGTATATGTGAAGTTGCCTCTATGCATCATATCCTTTAAGAAATACCTTGATGATTATTTTCACTTAAAGTATCTTGGTCTAATTTCTTATTTTTTTGGGATCAGATGTGCGCATCGGCGCATCCAAAAAGGGCATAGTTCTAAATCAGAAGAAATATGCTCTTGATATTATACATGAGGCTGGTTTGTCTGGTTGAGCCTTTTGACACTCCTATTCAACCAGGCCATGGTCTCACCACCTCCACTAGTGTTGAGATTCGAGATCCTAAGAAGTACCGTAGACTCATGGATCGTTTGTTATAACTGACCATCACTCGTCTAGATATTTGTTACTTTGTTCATGTATTATCTTAATTCATGGAGTGATGGAGGTGCCATGATTAGATCAACTTAATGCATCTCTTAAGGATCACCCCGGTCAAGGCATTCTCTTACGCAGCGAGAGCAATCTTGCTCTTACAGCTTATTCTGATTCTGATTGGGCAAGCTATCCACTTACTCGTCGTTCAGTGATAGGTTTTATTTTTTAATTTTTTTTGTTAGGAGGTTCTCCTATCACTTGGTGAACCAAGAAGCAGACAACAATGCCTCGTTTTTGTTTTTTTTGCTGAGACTGAATATTGGACCATTGCATTCTTCATGCACCTATTCGAGGGGGAATATTGGAAATATTGTAATTGAGTTTTGGAGATATGAAAATATATGGGTTATGAAATCTGGGAGAAATGATATGGGTTTTAAAATCTGAAACGAAGTTGTTTGGAGAGATACAGAATCATGATTTATTTAGTGATAAATGGGGGTGACCGGCAATGAGGGTGGTTGGTGGTAACAATATAATGATAGCCGGTGACGGTAAATGATCAATGGTTGAGAGAAATATAAATCCCCATATTGATATCTCTCAAATTCGGAAGATATCCAATTCGGTATCTTTTTTGGCATCACCAAACACCCAAAAAGAATTTTAATATCTACGGTTATTAAAACTCATATCTTGTTTGCTCACCAAACACTTATTGCAGTTATTGTGTAGCTAATTGTTATGAGTTGGGCCGTAGGATCACAACACTTGTATATATTGTGACTCTTGATCAATGGAAAGCTAAACAAGTTGTTACTATTTATTAGATGGTAAATATAATGATTACCCCAAAAATTTTATTTGGGCATTAAAGAGACAATAAGAAAATAGGGAGTAAGCTAGGATTATATATGGTTTACCAGAAGGCAGTATAGCTGTAGAACTCAACGCCCAAAGACATCAAGAGAAGAGATGCGGAGGAGAAAGCAGCCTGCCCCAATCTCAGACCAAAGCTCGCGCTCGTTCCCACTGGTCCTCCCACTACTTCTTCTTCGTTCCTTGCCATCTTCCAAACCTACCTACCCAACTTAATTATTTATTGACCACTCCACCGGCGGCGCGGCCGTGTATATATGATTATCGGGTATCAATCTCAAGCTAATGTTTTATATATCATGGTGATATATGGTGGATGACCGCGGCGGCGCCGCCCCATCGGAACAAGAAAACCAACAGCCGCCGGTTGAGGGTCAAAAGAAACTGCTTTTGATGTGCATGGAATAGTTTCGCCGATCGGGTGGGTATTTTTGGGTTGTCATGAGAGAGAGAGAGAGAGAGAGTTGAAGGGTTATACAGCGTTTAGAAAACGGCCCAAACGAATCGCTACTCTGACACGTGGTTTGCCAACAGCCCTTCTTTCCATCTTTTGATGGACAGCTGTCACTTGTTCTCTACGAATGACCTCATTTTTGTACACCCTACCGACAAAAACTTCTCTAAACAAAATCATTTTAAAAGAAGAGTAAGTTTATATGGTCCACCGTACGTGCATATTATTTTTGTTGATCTTCTTTCATTAAAAATATTTTTTTAATTTTTTTATTTAAAAACATAAATGCTTATTTAAATAGTTAGAAAATACTTATTTTGATCATATGTAGGTGCATGGTGCACCTTAAGTCTATCATAGAAGTTGTCTTTAAAAAATGATCTTTTACACGCTAGTTGAAAGATGATACTCTTTCGGTCTCTGAAAAACTTCCTGTTTTAATTTTTTCGTCAAACAATAACACTTTTTTATTATAAATTGTAAAAGAAATATATTTGATATTCTAAGACAGAGAATACTTTTTTAAGAGACGAAAGGACTACATCAAAAGATCTATGCATAACCAAAAGAGGCAACAATATAAGTGGTCCTCAATCTCAAATGTAAGATGTAAAGTTGATGGACTTTCCTAATTTCGACCAATGACCCAAACTTGAATTATTAGTGCATATACCACCCAATAAAAACAACAAAATCTTATCAAATGACATCATTGCGCCCTATCAAGTTCAATGGGTTCACTTTCCAACTTTGGATTAAACTTTTTACTCTAGTGAGGTAGAGGTGCAAATCCGCCGCCGCTTAGATCTACCACTTCCTGGTCAGCAATGATTCTAACAACGAGATTAAAATCCACTAACGCCAACCCCACGGCAAAAGGCTTAATGAGACCGACATTGTTCTAGCAAATATCCTAATCTAAGACGAGTTATGAATCTTGTGGTCAGCATTGACCAGTAGCGTGGACATGGGTAGAGGGTGTTTCGAAGGAGAGGATTTGGGGTTCCACGATCGCTAGCTGGCTATGGAGTGGTGGCAGGAGTGGTGGTTCTTTGGAAAAGATGGTGTAAAAGAGAGCACACAAATAACTCCCATTAGTCAAACACTCTTATGTCTTTCTTCCCACTCACTTTGGAGCTGCCACATAACCTTTTACGGTCCGTATCCGTGGCCACTAGATTCCAATGGCTACGGAAGCCAATGTCCCCTACAAACACCTACAGTACTCCGTTCGTAAAATTAGTGATTCCTAACCCGCCTAAGTAGAAACTAGGCAGGGGGTTTGTCGGGGGTTTGTCAGGGGTTAGGAGTAGGAATCATCAATTTTATGAAAGGAGCACCATAGAAGGGCAGTGACTTCAGTGGCCACTAAAACCCAGTGGAACCTAGCCAAACTTTTTATTAGGACGGAGGAAATATCATTTACTCTAAATTTTCATTAACCGTATTATAAAAATCCTACGTTCACCAAACACCTTTGGACTTGATAATCAGGTCTGCCTTGATTAACAAACCACGCACTAGGATCAGGGTAAATGTAAATGGGCGGGATTATCTAAAGCATATTCACTCTTAAACAAATAGTACTAACATGAAAAAACTTTCACAAGTCTACCATCCTCCCGTTAATCCATCTCAACGTGCTGTCTTTTATAATCCACATGAACATGGAATTCAGAACACACAGAAAATGAATAAAGAGAACTTTGGTCTATGAATTTTAAAATTTAGGCCTCTTATCATGTGAAGATTCTCCCAACCCGAAATGCAGGCTAACTGCAAGAGAAGAAAATACACACTGAGAATATAATTAACAGAACAGAGCAGTCGTTGACAGAACAGAACATACAGACCAAAATAAAAGAAATTGAAAGAGATTCAGGCAACCAAAAGTAACATTTTGGGGATGAGAGAGCCACTCCATCGGAAAAAAAGTACTCAAAAGTTTGATTAAGCATTGGAATTCAAGGGAAAACCCAAGTAACAAGAGGAAATCTCCTAGATATCGCCACAAATTTGAAGCTAGGTAATAATAACATATTGAACGCAAGACAGCAAGCATGAACAAAGTTCCTGTAAACATGACCATGTTTATGGCGAATGTCTCGCCTAGGCAAGTAAAAACAGAGTGTGACTTACAAACAAATACAACAAATCCTACAACAGTCAATATTTATTTTGCTTTTTATTGTCAACACTGACAAATAACTTGGTTTTGAATTAGTATATATGTACACATCATGTACTAAGTGTCCACACAACCTCTTACTCTCTTAGTGACTTTTCATTGGCCAGAGAAGCTCTTCTTTTACTTATTCTCTTTGATGTTTTTCTGATAATTCTTGAAGCCATTCTTTTCTTTATCAAAGCATTTTATGTAGCTAAGCGTTTATATATATATATATATATATATATATATATATATATATATATATATACACACACACACACACACACACATACACACACACACTCTAAATTAAATAGCACTCCCTGTGAAATAATCAATTGCAACAAAATGAAAACGAGTGTATTGTGTCTATGTAGCAAGAGCTACCCTCTCAAGTAATAACTTAAAGTTTATTCTGGATAAAAGCTTAAGAACCAAAGAAAAATTCACATAATCTGAACAATGGTCCAATGAAGTTCAACACAATTCTATAAAGCAAGCAGATGAAATATTGGTTCCGGTAGGATGTTGGGATATCCAATCACCCTGCTCAGGCAGAATGACAGATCAAATCATGCTCATAGTTTACGAATTTCTCACATAATTGCATTGGAATCTTTGCAAACAAGCATAATACAAACTCAACAACAGGAATCTCAATTATGGACATGCCAAAAAGCATTATATAAACAGAAAGACACATAATAAAATCACCAAATTAAGAACACATAGAAAAAAGGAGCATAGTACCACTGAATCCAAAATCACAGAATACAAACAGGCAATAAACATCAGAATCAAGACATACTCCGAAGTGGTTTGGAGAAGGAATAGTTGTCGGAGGAGGGCCTACAGTTCGAGCTTGAGCTCCTCCTTTTGATCGGAGAGGAAGTGCAGGATGTAGGGTGCGACCCGAATCACGACGACCCATGCCCCGAACATAGCCACGTGGTTCTTCAGCTGCTTCAAAGCTGCAGCTTTGTCTGGTTTCCTCATGAACATTCCAGGGAACATGGTTTCAGCTTTTCTTCTTCTTCTTCCTCGTTCGATTGAATTGAGTTTGCTGAATCAAATTCAGAGACGGAGAGATTTGAAGACAACCCTAAAAAGAGAAAACCTTTGCCTGAGTATTCATTTATACAACGATCAGAATTTTATTATTGGCCCAATACGAAGTACACGTCTCCACGATCTACCCCATCAGCCCACTGAGCCCATTAATAACTTAAGTCATATTCGAATGACTCTGATCTCATTAGAATTGATTTTAATTTATTCTGATCTAAATGTAATTATATTTAAAATTATTTTTTTATTCGACCGATTCTTATTTGGTCTGATTTGATCTTAATAAGAGTAAGTAATAAGTAAAAATATAAGTTGAGGAGAACATGGTCTTAGCCTCCCAAATACGTCTAGTACGGAATGTACGACATGGCACTGTGTTCTATGTATACGGAGTATGTTCTACGGAGTAAAGTGCCAAGTTGCCAACTTGATACACGGTGTCACATTGTCACAATACATTAGTTCTATTTTGAGATAAAAACATGGTACTCGTGTTTTGAGGATATGCATTATATTTTTCTCTTATTTTGGATGGTTTCTAAAATTATTTCTCATTTAAGTTTTCTTAAAATAAATATTTTTAAATTTTGACCCATTATACAAATTTGTTGTTTTAAAATATCATGTTTTTATAGTAATCTACATTTTCATCTAACATTACTTTTCTAATTTCACTATTTACCGATCAATTTTATTTTTTTTCTTACTTATTTTTGATAATCATTTGTTAAAATGAATTGTTCTAGATAATAGTAGAATGACATCAAAATAACATCATAGGAGTGTCATTGTTTTCATTGCCTAAATAGCGTTTGGCAATAAGAACGGTGGTATTGTGATAACAACGCAACAATGGGAACGGTGGTAATGTGATGATCGACGATAATGTTGTGGTGGACCACCGGTACAATGGTCAATGTCGACAACGCTCTTACGGTGCTCAGGTGATCGTGTGCAATGTGAGAGTGTCAGTGTGAACATTACAAAAGGAGTGTCACTTCTATTGTAGTAGTTTTAATGTTTTTTGTTCCTATTTAAAGAGTTCTCTCTTTATTAAGTTCACAAACAAAATGATCACAAAATTCACAAACATATCATTTATGATTTAAATTATTATTTTAAAATTATTCCAAACTATTTTATTTTTTATTGAAGTTCACAAATAGTAGATTTGTGAGATTTGTGACTATTTTGTTTGTGAACCAAGCATTTCTCTTGTTAAAATAACATAATCATGTGACAACTTACCTTATAGAGAATGTGATATAGGTTATTGAACTCTCTCATTAGTGTGCTCTACGCTGGCACACGTACGACATGCAACTTTCCGTGGTCTTGCTCCCTTATACTACCATGTTCATTGCCGTGACATACCCGCTCATAGTAGTCGGGTGTGAAGCCATGATGAAGAATATGCAGTTTGATGTCATTAACATCCTTAGAGCAACTTTAGCCTTCTCTCTCTCTCTCTCTCTCTCTCTCTCTCTCTCTCTCTCTCTCTCTCTCTCTCTCTCTCTCTC